TGAATTTAATGTCAATTTAAAAAATAATAGTAGTTGCAATATTTATGATCAAAATTATTAAATATTAATTATTATTTATGATACAAATTAATATTTCGAGAGGAAGTGGAAATTTTTACAAACAATAGGATAGCTTATGTGACAACATTTAGTCTAGCTTGACAATATCGTAAAAATGGAATTTGAGAGGGATGCCAAGTGACACCCTAATCTCGTCAGTGGGCCAACTAGATTAATTTGGATTTAATTGATAAATAGCTTCCTTGTAAAATCTAAATGCAAGATAATTGTGTACTCCATTTAAAAGAAAAAAAATATCAAATAATTGTAAAGAAAAAAAATATCAAATAAGTATATAATCAAAATATATTCTTTTTTATTTAATTGATAAATAGCTTCTTTGTAAATGCAATATAATTGTGTACTCCATTTAAAAGAAAAAAAATATCAAATAAGTGTAAAATCAAAATATATTCTTTTTTTAATAACAAATATATATATATATATATATATATATATATATATATATATATATATATATTTATGGCTAAGTGCAAGCTAATGCTAAAATAGGAAACAAGCTAAAATTTGAACAGATTAATCAATCTTGAAAGGGCAAGATTTTTTTAATTAGGAAAAGATATCTGACTAAAAAATTTAAATAGAAAGAATCTCAAGAATAATGGGATCATGACAAATTCGAGAAATTTCATCACACTAACCAAGAAAATCAGGGAAGAGACAATCGTCTAGACATGAAAATTCTAACATATATACATATTTGGACAAACAAGCAGAAAAGGTAAAAAGGAATAGAGAGGATCGAAGTGACAAGAAGAGAAGGTCTTACCAAGAAAAAAAGTAAGCTCGTCCTTCTTGATCTTTTGTTGTGCACTTTTTATTTTTATTTATTAAATGTTGGAGAAGTAATGTCATTTTATTCGATGCTTTACGTTGAATCTATTACATGTTAATTTTTGCTTTGTTTTAATTCAGTTAAAAAGTTCACCTGCTTGTACCTGCAGCATAGTCATAACACCATTCCGAATTAGTAACAATTGTTGTATGTGCTAGAAAATGGGTCGTGGAAGAATAACGATGGTTCCAAAGGAGAAAGATCGTAAGAGAACTGTTATGGATCAGAATAAGGTCCATGGTCAGTAAGGCTCATGATCAGCTCAGGTCCACAGGTAAGCATTATAAATAGGAGCTAAACGCCACAGGTATAATCTAATCTCTTTTTACCTATTTAGGCAGCCTAGATAGCACGCACACTTTTCCCAAGGCTAAGGCCATCAGATAGTGTGTGATCTGCTGTCCTCAAGATACCTAACTCATAAGTATCTAGAGAAGACACCTGAATCATAGATCAATCATCCAATCCTAATTGGACACATCTGCCTAGGGCAGAACAAGAACATTTCAGAGGAGAAAGAGTAACATAATGAAGAAAGTTTATGAGTTTTCCACTCTTTGTGATGTTGATATTTGCGTAATTAGCTATGCCCCCAGCTTTGAGGGTGAAGGACTTGCTCAACCTGAAACATGGCCCCATAACACTGGAGAGGTACGCGGCATCATTCAAAAGTACATTGATCCTCCCCTTGATAAGCCTCCTAAGATCTTTGATGTGCAAGATTATTATAAGGATAGGATCAAAAAACTTGAAGCTAACATCTCCAAAGTGAGGAAAGAGACGCTCAAGATCAAGTACCCAACTTGGGATGACTCTTGATGAGGATCAACTCACTATGATGATTGGAAAGCTAGATGCTAAGCTTGATGCTTGTAACCAAAAGCTTGACATGCTCAAAGGAGATCCAAAGGGAAAAGCAATAGCAGAATCAGATAAGCTTGGCACACTTGCTCCCTACTTAGCCTCAAATCCAAGTAGCCATCTCAATTTCATGCAAAACATGTCTCATGCAACCACAACTTTTCCCTCTCCCTGTGGAGTCAAGTAGTGATAACAACCAGCTACCATTATACCCATTTGAGCATGGCCAGAGTTCTCAATCTTCCATGTTTCATTTTGGTCAAAATAACTGTTAGAATTGAATATTCACACATATGCAAGAGATAATACTTGTGTATCTACTAAAAAAAATTTCTTTTCTATTCTTACTGCTCTTTTTCTTTTTCTCTTGATCTACATTTCATACAAATTATCGAAGGTTATTTATAAGCTATAAAACTGACCAACATAACTCCACACATAACATCCTCATTACTTTATAACTGACATAACTGACTCGTTAATATTCTAACTGAAATAACTGACTCGTTAATATTCTAACTGACACAAGAAACTAAAAAACCAAAACTGCTAAAAAACGGACATTTAAAATTTATCCCAACAATAACACACAATTTATGGGAAATACTGAAATGGTGGGTTGGCCATTTCTATCAGCTTGGTCATGTTATATATGATTCCAAGACTACTGATATTACAAAGCAAAATAATACTTTTGCTGAAAATATTCAAAACCACCCACCAAGCTACTATAGTGGAAATATACAAACAATGCAGCCTTATAATATTAATGCTTCGCAGACTCTTCCTTCTCAGAACTCAGAACCTTCATTCCAGACTGCATCAGATCTACCATCTGATTTTCAACTTAATGGATTCTACAATACAAATTTGTTTCAAGCTCAAATGTTCAACTACAGGCATGGAAATAATTAGGCCGTAATATTTCAAACATCTATGCTTCTCATTATGAAACTGTAATTTTTTTAGCTTGTTTTGGCATTGGCTTTTGTTTATTGAATTGTTGAATTTCTTTTCTGGGTTGAGTTTTTTTGCTTATTAAAATTTTATTTTATTTTTGTTGAATTTTCTGGGTTGAGTTTTTACTATGACATTTTATGCAATACACTTAAACAACTTGGCAAAATCGGTAAGTTCTTTTTCTTGTTATTTTGCTATCTTACTCTAAATTTGAACCCCTAATAATTGTATTTACCAATTTGAAACAAAGATTATGATTATCCATCTTTGACAATAAAAGGATTTAATAACAGAGTTATTTTAGTGGTATTTACGATCGCATCATCACATTATATCATGAGGGAAAGTTATTTTTGTAAGGATTTACTCTTAAAAATTGATTTGATGGTATTTAATCCTTTTAAATGACACAACTCATATAATCTTACTCCTCACGAAGAGGTGAGACCATACCTTTATTTTTTTTGTCAACTCTCTCTCCTTCTTTATCTATCTCTTTCTCTCTCTTAAAATGACACAACGTTACATCCTTTTATAATGACACACACTTTTTCCATTTTCAAATACATCATTGTCTGTGTGTTTTCCATTCCATCATTTAAATTAGGATGCATACAACTTTGACCTATCTATCTGCAACGACGGTACACAATGGTGGTTAATTAGGGTTATGTCCTTCCAAAATTTTCAAAAATTAAATTTTAATCTTTAAATTTTGATTTTTATCTGTGCCTGTTCCAACATTTAATTTGTGATGTTTTATTAATATTTAATATTTTGAAGTCAATTTTAATTTTAACCTTATCTTTATCTTTTGTTTCCATATTTTTTTGGCAACAAATATTTGTGAATTAAATTGGACTCAATTTCAACCATCTTTGCTAGCAAATTATATAACTTAGATAATATGTCACTTTGAAAAATTAAAACATTGCTTTTTGTACATATCGGACGACTGGTACCTAGAAATCTTTATTTCACAACAATTGGTTGCAGTGTGGATAAATGAAGTATTAAGCTGATATCGTATACTATTAAGCATCGTCACATAAATTTGTGTCCACTCGATTACTTGAAATGGAATCAAAACAAAGCCACTACCAATTGGAAAAATTGAAAGATATGCTACACAACAATAACTATAAGGCAAGCCAAAAAAATCGTATTCACTAATTAGAGATTACGACGGAATGATTGCTGGGAAACAACTCACTTAAGTTAAATGTTAGAGTAAACACCCTTTTTGGTCTCTGGCAATATCTACGAAATCTTTTTTAGTCCCTGACAATAAAAAAGGACCAAATTGGTCCTTAAAATTATGAAAAAAAGGCCACATTAGTTCTTATGTCAACTCATCCGTCACTAACGTGACCCTTTTTGCATACTGTTAGGGACCAATTTGGTCTTTTTTTATTGCTAGGACTAAAAAGGATTTCGTAGATATTGCCAAGGACCAAAAATGATATTTACTTTAAATTTTATTATTATTATTATTATTTTGGTAAACAATTTTATTATTTTATTCAGCCAAGTTACTATTTTTTTTTTAACAGCTGCTTAATTTCCTTCATTTTAGCAAACCTTTTAAAATAGAAACTTCCATATTTATCTATTCGTATGTAAAATCTAATTTGTCTACCTCTAGAATCATGTGAATAGGTCATGAGTAATATTTTAAGATGATTTTCATCCGCTAAACGGAAAAAACGGATTTCGATTCCATATATCTACTATGAATTTATCGATCAATAAATGACTAATATTGGGTAATATTAATGAATTTAAGGAAGGAATTTTAACAAACTAAACAAATATCCTAATATAACCCTTTTTTATGAAAAAATCCATAAATTAATTTTAACTTAAGAGAAAAATATTAAAACAATTTTTATAAATATTTTTTCTTTTTTTAAGTAAAATATACTTATCTAGTTAACATAAAACTTTTTAAACATGCATCTCAATTAAAAAAAAATACTTTTTTTCTCTTAAAAAATAACAACATGCTAGATATTAAATATACCGTAGGAAATGCAGAGGTGAACCTCGTTATTTCATACTGTATAGTCAGTTGGACATTAGATATTGAGTTTTATAAGAGTTATGTTGTAAGAAAAGTGATTGTGAATGTTATAGAGATTCATTTTGCGTGCTGTAATTTTCTTTTTTTCTTTTTTCTTCAAAAAGTGTGGACCCCACAAAATGTTGTGTGTGTAGGAAAGTTTGTTGTGTCATGTTAAATGACAAATGTAAATCTCTTAGATATTTCATTTTAACCAGCGTGAATAAAAACAGAAAAAGCCTATTTTATGGTGTAAATAAACAAAGGAATTTAGATGTTAAGTATTCCAGGTCAGTCCATAAGACATGTCCTCTACCTCGCAACAACAAATATGCAAATCTTTAAACGAGTACATATTTCTTCAGCCGATTCAGGTGAATGTTTGGCGAACTTCAAGCGCTCTGCTCTTCAATATCTCCATTTTCACCATCTTCAGCAGCCGCAGCAGCCATCAACTCATCGAAATTTGCTGTCTTCCCAAGTATTATTTCAATCTAAAACATGATTTATCAAATATCGAACTTAGAGGCAATTCATAAAGCAGAATCCAAGGCCACAGATTAGGAGACATTTTAGGCGTGCTATAAAATCATCAAAAGCTGTTTTTTATTTTGGTTTTAATAAGGCACTTCATTTAACCTCTGTGTATGTGTGTGAACCGGGCTCCAAGGCAAACATTCTAGGGGAAAAAAAAAAACTTGTTTCCATCCTTACCTTGGCCTTCTGAACAGGTCTACCTCTAGAATCATCCTTGATGTCAACAGTTGATGTCATGATTTCTGCATGAAGATTCCATGAATAATCAAATTAGCTTATTACACCATTGGCGAATCAGAAAGAGTTAACGAGAGGGGAGAGGTCACATTTCTCAGGAGAATAAATAAAAGATGGTAACGCACTCTTTTCAACAGCAAGCCCATTATTTTTCAAAATTTCAGCGACAGTTACCACTGTGGCAATAGCTGTAACAATAAAAGAAAAAAAAATCAGAAACCGTATGAAAATCGTTACCAAGGAAGAGAAAGGAAAAGATATAATGAGGAAGTCACATATAAATCATTAAATAAACTGCATTTTCTTCCTCATTTTAACTTAGTAATACAGTTCTGCTCCTCCAGGAAGTAATATGCTTGAGAGCATAATCAACATCCAAGAAGTTATTGCCTTCTAATTTTGAAAATGAAATCATGTTTCTCCAGTCTTCATTCATCATTGCAATACAGTCAGCATGACTGTTCTGATGGTATCTGTCCCAGCATTTCTATGTTCTATCAAATTGAATCATTGATTACACTTAAATCCCAAATTGGAAGAAAGACCCTTGGGGGTAGAACTTCAGGGTCGAAGATGAATCTTTAACCACAGCACTGCCAAAACTCCGCATGGTTAAAAAAATAGTTTATCCAAATTTATCTTATTCAGATTCTCACAACTTGAATTAATTTTTTTTTAGTTTAGGGAAAGCAAAAAACAGACTAACTACTGCTACATAATCTGGGGATACCTATTCCCCTCAAATCCCTAGCTACAAGGTCTCTGCACCCCGACAGTGAATGGGTGAAAACATGAGTATCCCAGTTATACAAGTAAGCATGTGTAGCTAACCAACTAATTTGGAAGAAAGGCCCTTGGAGGTAGAACTTCAGGGTCAAAGATGAATTTTAAGTACAGCACTGCCAAAATATGGCAGGGTTAAAAAAATAGTTTATCCAAATTTATCTTTTCCAGATTCTTCAAATTTCAGTTTTTTTTTTTTTTTTGTTAAGTTTAGGGAAAGAAAAAAACAGACTAACTACTACTACATAATTTGGGGATACCTATTCCCCTCAAATCCCTAGCTACAAGGTCGCTGCACCCCGACTTTGAATGGGTGAAAACATGAGTATCCCAGTTATACAAGTAAGCATGTGTAGCTAACCAATCAGCTACGGAATTCCCTTTCCTGAAAGCATGTATGAGATACTTGCATAGTCCAAAATTAAGTTGTAAGTCCTAACTAAATGATAATATGGGTCAGCAAACAAACTCATGCTACCAACCTACAGATTATTTGGAGTTTAACAAGGGATTGGAAAAGGGAAGGCTTGCATAAAGCATTATTAGTAAGATTTAAAATTAAGCATATAACATATTAGCGATTGCCACTACCACCAGCACACTGTATCCCAAGGCTTTGACAGAATAAAAAACTAAAAAAAGTCTGAAACAGAGTACCAAGACTCAAATCATTCACAAGATCAGGGCAAGCAGAGGCAGACAAAGAAACCTAAAAACCACTACAGCCACCTGTTCAACAGTCAAAGGCCTTGAAACATATACAGAGACATCCTATAAAGCAAAACATGTTTATATAGACTGATATTGATATGTGTTACCAAAAGTAACACCTATTGTTCAATGAAGGTTTGATCTTTCAAGTATACCATTCTTTAGTTTTTCACAATTCTCAATCTCGCAGGACTATATATCTCAACACGCCCCCTGACACGAGAGCCCATTGGACTTGAAGAGTGGACAATGCAACAGGCCCAGCCTACCAGTGCTAAGAAACGCCACAAGAGAAAGGGGGGGCGAGGCTCTGATACCATGTAAAGAACCTTGGGATACACCACCCCACAAACTAGCTCAAAGGGTGGGAGTGCCCAAGACCTTATAAACTCCACATTAGTTGCACATACAACCAATGTGGGACTATATATCTCAACAAGAGTTATATTTAGTGACCAATGTAACTAATAGAGTAATAAACGAATGAATCAAAAGCATGAATCTACATGACTAATCGATAATCAATAGAACCAACTATTCATTATCACAAGCAGCGTTCAATTAATAGAAAACTTTAAAAAAAAAACAGAGGAAAAGGCGAGAGGGGTTTTTATACCCATTCCTAGTGCTGAGAGCTCGACCTCATTATGCTGTTGCATATATCTCTACAATAACAACACGTATCAACAAAATTAAACAAAACCGAATGTGCTCAGAATAATTAAAAATGAGAAACATATGAGGCTAGCGATTGAAAATTGCAAAGAGATGGATCGGTACCTTGGCGAGATTAACGTAGAAGAAGAGGGGCTTCTTAGTGTTGGAGACCTGAATGCGATTCTTCTTATAGGAATCGGAGATGTTGATGTTGTTCACTCCCTCCGTTATGGCTTCCATTGCTCTCTCTCTCTCTCTCTCTCTCTATAGCACGATGATTAAGATCAAAAACCCTAACAATTTGTTTGTCACATATGCTGAGGAAAGGTATTGCCCGCGAAGCACGGGGTACAACGCGTGTGCACTCCTTTCTCTCTCCCTGGGCCTAAGCCCAACACTTCTTATTAGTTGTTTCTGATTCAATGAGCTATCAGTTTGGGCCATATGGTAATCATTATTTTATATTGGTGTAAATTATATTATATAAAAAATTAATAAATATATACCAAAAGTGTAAAACATGGTCATTTCATTTAAAATGACATAAAATTATATTTTTTTAAATAATAAATATATTATATATATATATATGGGAATGATCCGTTTGTAATTTTTTTTAATAAATTTTTGCAAATTACACTATATACTCTCGAAAATACATAGTGTAACCTAGTGTACTTTCGAAAGTACATAATGTTATTCGTAAATATAACACACCTTATATATATATATATATATATATATATATATATATATATATATATATATATATATATACGTGTGTGTATGAGATAGGATTATTTGACACCAGTGTCAAACTTTTTAATTTAACACCAAATTTTACCCGTTCATTTTTGATAATCTAACGGTTGTAATTTATTGAGAATTAATAAATATGACCCAATAAATTATAACGGTTAGATTTACGGAATCAATGATTAAGATTTGATGTCAAACTTTTTATTTTGAAATCGCTATCAAAAGATCATCCCAATATATATATATATATATATATATATATATATATATATATATATATGAGAAAAGTGTTTGTCATTATTTTTTTTTGATAACAAGTGTTTGTCATTTTAAATGACATAAAGTTATGTTATTTTAAAGAGAGATAGACACAAAATAAATTTTTTTATTTAAATTTTAAATTAACAAAAAACCACCCATTTTCTCTCTCCCATGATTTTCATTTTCTGTGTCTATCGCTCTCCTAAAATGACATAACTTATGTCATTTAAAATGACAAACACTAAACCCTATATATATATATATATATATATATATATATATATATATATATATATATATATTTACGATTTTGTTAATCTCCTTTTACATAAGATAATTATCTTATGTTATAGAGAGAAAATGGTTGGGTCCCACCGTTATAAGAAAAAAAAAAGGTGGGGTGTAAAAATTGAAGTGAGAGAAAATGAGAGAAGTTGTCTTATGTTAAAGAAGAGTAATATTTTCCATATATATATATAGGGCTTATCGTTTCTCAAGCTACTTGGGATAATTTTATCTCCTGCTACTATATCATAACCGTACAAAGATGGATCAATAGTGATAAAAGAATAGAGAGAAAAAAGGAATCATAACCATTCAAAGGTGAATCAATTAATATAAGAAAATAAATAAATAAATAAAACGACATAATTTTGAAGTAGCCGAAGATAAACTTATCTCAAGCTGCTTGAGAAATATTTTTTCCATATATATATATATGTGTGTGTGTGTTCGCGCGTGTTTATGAAATTATGCATTTCATGGATTACTAAAAAAAAAAATTATGCATTTCATCTGTTACATAATACAAAAGTGGGTTGCGAATTTAAAAAAAAAAAAAAAAAGGTTTAGAAAATTTTAAGCACTCAATTGAAAAATAAATAAGTTAGCACGACTCTACATGAGAAAAAAAAAAAAAAAAAAAAAAAAAAAAAAAAAACGTCGCGCTTGTGGTTAACTTGAAATATCGAAATTCTTGTGGTTGAATTTTGGTTACATGGTACAGAACTTTGCTGGCAGACTTGAAAAGCAACGAACAGGCTAAAAACGTCGCGCACGATTCTGATACTTTGGAACCTTTTTTTTTTTAAGAAAATTATGAAAACTTATTTCCTTGTCAAATAAATATTAGTCTCGGTAAAAAAGACTGGAGTACTTTGATCATGTGATTTTAAACTTTGGACCCCCTGTTAGGAAAAATTCCCACCTGCATTTCGAGAGATTAGGTTCGCACCTATTTATTGTTAAACTATTTACCATTAGTTTTAAGAAAATACTAAACTTATCACTCGATACTTGAAACTGAAAGCTTACATTTTCAGCCCATGTTTTGCAAGCAACTCAATAATTTACCTAATTTAGAAAAAAAATACTTATCCACTCTAATTTTGTGCTTTTACCCGTCAAGTTAATGCCATGCTACTAAGAAATCCTTCCCAACAAATCCTTAAAATCCTACGCACATATAAAAGTGTGTGGGACCAAAAACAATTTCGTTTTTTTTTTTCTTGAAATGAACCCTTTATGTATGTGTAGGAAATAATTTTATCTCATACAATATAAAAAACATTAATCCTTTTGTTCTTAATGAAAAGCACAACTTGAAAAGATTACCAAAAAAAAAAAAAAAGAGAAAAAAAAAAAGCACAACTTGAAATAGAAATATTTGTTCTCCCTTCAAAGGTGTCCCCAAGTGATAGGAGTTGCATACCAAAGAAATATAGCAGCAATGACAACGGACCCCTCGATGCACCAAATGTGGTTCCTGCATGCTAGTAGTGTTCTTGTGCGACAATATTTATTTCAATAGCATAATTTTGAGGAGTCTTTAAAGGATTATTAGCTATAAAATTTTCTGGCTCATTTAACAAATTGACCAAAAATTTAAACTGAGTAATTAACTAACTGTGCCCAAGCAGATTTGAGTCCAAGCAGATTCACAAACAATCCGGCCCATTTCAAGCTCTATTTGAGATAACGGTGTTTGCGGTCTGGATTGGATCGATTTTAGAAGCAAAAATCATCCGATCCAATCCCTTCGATTTGATCATGTAATCATCCATTCGGTTTGGATTTTTTTTCAAATCCAACCCGATCCGATCCAATTTTTTTCGGTTTGGATTGGATCAGTTTTCGATTTTTTGAAAATTTTAATTTTTTTAATGATTATTGTGCAAATAACATCTTTTGTATATATTGGATTTGTAATTTTATTTTTTTAAAATACAAAAGCATCAGTAAACTATAATATAGTTTTATTTTTTGGACAATGAGACATGAAACTCTGCATAGATGAAATTTTGTTAATGAGATGTGAATAAATTTTTTCTTGAGTTTACTTAATACCTTAATGGGTCTTGGGTTTAAAAATTTTTGGGCTATGATTGGGGAAAGACCCAAGTAGGTATAGAGAAATTAATATATTGGATCGGTTTGGATTGGATTGATTTTCATCTACCAATCCGAAAACCGATCCAATGCAATTAAAATTTGCGGGTTTTTTTCGGTTTTCGGTTTATTCGATTATCGATTTTTCGGTTCGGTCACCGCAGTTTGAATCAGTTGATGTACACCCCTAATTTGAGAAATATGAAAACTCTTAGGCTTTGTTTGGGAGTTTGGAGGAGAAAAGAAAGAAAAGAATTTAAGGGAGAGGAAAGGGGAAGGAAGGAAAATGAAGGGTATTTCCTTCTCTTATTTGAAAGTTAAAACCCCCCAAGTTATAGGAACTTTAATTTTAAGAACAATAAGAATTTTAGAAGATTTTGTGAAAATCCCAAAATCCTTCCCCTCATTTTTTAAACTCTCAAACAATTTTTAAACTCTCAAACAATGAGAGGGATTAATAAAACCCTTCATTTCTTTTCTTTTCCTTCCTAAAACTAACTTCCAAACAAACCCTTAATCAACATCACATTTGAGTAGAATCACCCAAGGGAATGAGAACTTCTGAACATAGTCACCCTAATCAGTAATCACAAATGGATGCATCAATGATCCAAATCTCTACACAACTACAAAAGACCTGCATTTAAGTGAAGATACATAAAACAGTAAAATTGGAGTTCTATTCATCCTCGGGTACTCCACGAAGGTAGAGAACATTGTTACATCTAGAAATACACACAATGAAATAAGACTTAACTAATATATTTTAGAAATGACACTCTCGAAGGAGGTCAGAAATAATCTGATTAGGAAAAAAAAAATCAGTAGGCTCGGAGGAGGAAATGCATATATTTCATGTTCAGAAATACAAAATAAGCAAGGTGTCGCAGTCTTTTACTAAAAAGTTTATGGGTTTATGTGTGTCATTTTAAAGAATGTAAAGTTGTGTCATTGTAAGATAGAGAAAGAGATAGATAAAGGAGGAGAGACAGAGTTGACAAAAAAAAAAAAGTGTGAGTCTCATCTCTTTGTGAGAGTGAAAGGATATAAATTGTGTCATTTAAAAAGATAAACATTTTTCTCAAAAAGTTTATTTACAACATAAGACAAATACAAGACAAGGATGACACTAAAGACAAGAATCACCATTGCCAATAATCTTTAGATTACCAATCTTGATATCCAAACAAAGCCATAGTATAACATGATCAAACTCTCGTTGTTTCTTTGGGTTTGATAAAAAACAAATCCGATTGCATTTTCTGAACATCCTATTCTTTATTATATATAACGCCGGCTTATAGGACTTACGGTCTAGTTTATAGATCAGACTTTGCTTATTATAGATAGTCAAATAGAATAAGCCTAGGCTTTAAAAAAAACATATTTAGAAAGTAGACCATAAGCTTTTTTTGTACATGTCATGTCAAGCCTATAAACTTACAGGTCGGCCTTTGTCATATTATTTATTTTAAATAAATTATTAATTGAATAATAAAGTAATATTATTTTAGTTATTTTTTTTAATTATTAAATGTTAAATAGATTTAGACCATATCCGAGTTGACTCAGCCGGTCTGAGTCGGTTTTTAAAATACTGATATAACCATCTAGGTTGAGAGATCACTTTGTTCTATTTATCTTCAAGCTCACAAAACATTATATAAAGCAGAGAGTGAAAAAAAATTAAATGTAAGAGAAACAAAACCTAGTTTCCAATTTTGACATCAATTTACAAATATACATAAAAAGATATAGACAATTTTTATATACATGTGCTAGCAAAGCTCAAAAACTACTAGCAAATAGAATAATTGAGATGGAAGTTACCTTATTAAAGCTCTCCAAATTTCCAGTAAATTGTCCCTCAATGTACTCCTCGGTGTTGGCCAGCTACACAGAGATTCACAAATATCAAA